GAATCCCAGCACCAGCACTCTGGAGAGGGGTAACCTTGGACATGGCCTTCATCTCTCCAGGCCTCAGTTTCCTCATCTGAAAACGAACAGGGCAAGGATGGGGGTGAGAGAAAAGGAACATGAACAAACTGGGGCAGCATGGAAAGGGACGGGGACGGGTGGGGCCACGCAGGTGCTGGAGGACTTGCCACATCATCTCGTGTAATTACCCACAATCAGCGACGTTTCACAGATGATGATACTGAGGCCGGAAAGGTTAAATCGCCTGCCCAGGGTAATGCATTAGCAGGTGACACTTCAGGATCTGCACCCAGCTCTTTTTTGTGCCAAAGCCCATGCTCTTTGGAGCCTCGCCCCTGCGCCCCACACTCACGTCATTGTAGAGCTTGAAGGCCTTCTTCAGGTAGCCGGCCCGCCCGCAGCCCCCGATCAGCACTGTGTAGTTGCACTCAAGGGGCTGGAGTCGCTCTTCCTTCAGCATCTGCCTCTCAAACAGGTCCAGGGCCTCAGCCAGCTGTGCGGGGAGAACATAAGAGGGGGCTCAGGGTGGCCTCAGAGAGCCTCAGCCAAGAGAGGGAGACTGAGGCTGAGGTACCCTCCCCTGGGGCCAAGAACAGGCCTGCCCAGGAGCCAAACACCCTGTGGTCTGCAGCAAGGGAGCTTCGTGGTGGCCAGGAAGAAAAGCCCACTGGACACCCACCACCTAGAGGAGCTCTCGGCCCTACTGCCACGGCTGCCTTCCCTCTAGCAGGACAGTGAACTCCTTGAGGGCAGGGGCCATGTCTTTGCATCTCTGTGGCTCTCGAGTGGAGCCAGGGCCTGGCACTTAGTAACTCCTCAGAAAATGTTAATTCTGTGAATCCCAGGATCTGCCTGCCCTTGCTTCCTTGGTGACCCCACCTGCAGTACCAGCCCCCTGGCTCTGAGCTGATGGGAGTCTGGGTTCCAGTCATTTAGTAGGGATGCTCAGAGCCACTGTGCTGCACGATCACAGGGGGCTGTGACACGATCACAGCGACAGTCTCCTGAGATGGCACAGGATGGCAGCCCTGTGTCACTAGCTTCCTCCAACTGCAAACCCCTTTGGCCCACAGTAGTCTTTGCCCCATCCCTACTCCTACACCATCCCCTTTAAAGCCTCAGTTCACTCCTTTACCACTTAATTATCTTATTTCATCCATTCATTCAACCAGTAATCACTGAGTCCTATTAGGTACCAGGCAAGGTCTATATGCTGGGGATACAGCAGTGAGCAAGAGGGAGCTCCCTCATGGAGTACATCTTCTAGCGTGGAAAGACAGACACCAAATGAGATAACTAAGAAAAATATATACTATGTCAAATGGTGATAGGTGCTATGTAAAAAATAAAGCAAAAAGTGTCAGAAGAAGGGTGTGGGAGATTCAGTTTTAGATACGACAGCCAAGCAGGGCCTCACCCAGAAGTTGACAGATGAGCAAAGATCTGAAGGAGGCCAGGGAAGGAGCCATATGGCTATCTAAGGGAACAGCCAGTGCAAAGGCCCTGAGGCAGAAGTGTGCCTAGGAGTTGGAGGAGCAGAGAGGAGGCTGAGGTGGCTGCAGCAGAGTAAGTGAGGCAGAGGGGATGAGAGCAGAGAGATAAGGGGTGTGGAGGGCAGATCCTGCAGCCTTCATAAGCCATTGTGAGGACTTTGGCTTCTCTTTGTTTACTTCTCAGCTTTTCATTATGGAAAATTTTAAACATACACAAAAGTAGAAAGAAGAGTATAAGATGGTGAAGAAGAGTGTACAATAATAAAGTTTGGCCAATCTTGTTTCATTTATACCCTGCACTCTCCCCCAAACTGTATTTTTTAAGGCAAATTCCAGACATTCTATCATTTCATTCATAAAATCTTCAACACATACCTCCAAGAGATTTTTAAATAGAAACGGAATGTCATTATCAATATCTAAGAAAGTGAACATCATTGATGTCACTGAATACACTGGGAATTCTGGAGAGAAGAGTAACATTATCTGCTTTCTGCTTTAACAGGATGACTCCGTGCTGCCAGCTGACGGCGGGGCAAGAGGAGGAGAGAGCCTCGGGGAGCCCAGTGCCATGTGTTGTAACAGCTGAGGAGGGCGAGGAGAAGGCTACGCCTGGGTGTTCAGGGGTAGGGTCATGAGAAGCGTTAGGACTGGTGACATTTTGAAGCTAGAGCCAGTGAGAGAAAGAGAAGAGTAGGGGTGACCTGAAGGTATTTGGCCTGGGTAGATACAACAGTGGGATTGCTATTCAGTGAGATGAAGAAAGTATAGGGAAAACAAGGTTGGGAAAAACAATCTCGGTGGATGTAGGTGGGTGTAAGAGAGATGGCGAGGAGGTAGCTGGATACACAGATCAGGAGTCCACGGGAAGGCCAGGCTGGAGATACAAATACCAGAACTGCAGTGAGGAGGCTGGCACTGAAAGCCAGGAGGCTGGCGGGTCACCCGGCGCAGTACCTGGGGTGAGTGAAGACAGAGGAGAGAAGAGCCCTGAGCATCCCAACATTCAGAGATCGGGAAGGCAGGGCCCCTCACAGAATACCGAGCCATGGGCAAGTAGGAGCCAGGAGCAGCAGAATCCACAGGTTCCCTCACCTTCCCTTCCTTGATCAGGTGTTTGCACTGAAAGAAGTACCAGTAAGGGGTGTTTCTTCGGCCCCGCCATGATTTTGGCTCCAGCTCCCTTGCCTCGTCTTCTTCAACACTCTGTTCCCTGAGCCGCAGGTTATACAACTGGGCCGTCGATTTGCGGAACATTCTCCGGGAGGAGTATTTGTCGGAGAGGGTCCCAAAGCTTTCCTCCCCGTCTTCCTCCTGGGTGGCTGTGGGGCTGGGCTGGCTGGGGTCAGAGCTGAGGCTGCCCGTGTTCTTCTGGCTCCCCTGGCCCAGGGGCAGCTGAGAGAGGGAGCTGCTGAAGGCTGCTGGCGCTGGCCGAGTCAGCCCCATGGCCCTCAGCCATGCAGGCCTCTTCCTGCCTCCTGCCCACCTGGCTCTGAGAGGGTCAAGGTGTTGCAGGAGGGACAGTCCCACGGGGTGGGGGCGGGAGAAGAGCTGGGCAAGTTTCACGAGGTCCATCTCTGGCTTTCCCCTCCAGGGCCTGACAAAGGTCAGAAAAAATAATGAAGTCAACTCAGGATCGCAGTCACAAAAAGCAGAAAGAAGACAGAGAAGTGGTGACAAGCCCAGACCGAGATTAGAAAGCCTAGGTTCAGACTGCAGCTCTGCCAAACAACCATCCATGAGTCCCTGGGCACTCACTGCTCTGGCCTCAGCCTCCTTGCCTGTAAACTGGGGTTAACTACAACGTTGCCCACACAGCACTGTAGCAATGACTGAACGAGGTCTCAGATATACACAGTGCAGTACAGTGCTGGCACAGTAAGCAGTCCACGGACAGAAACTATTCTCAAGCCATGATCTACGACACCTGTCACTAAAGCCAGATCTGAGTTTGAGTCCTGGCCAGAGCTGTGACTGGGCCCATTACTTAATCTCCCTGTGCCTCATTCAAATATGATGTTGAAATAAGTATCAAAATGTTTTAAAGACAAACTTATAGCATACTAGTATACATGCTTCTTTTTCTTTTTTATTTATTTATTTATTTATTTTTCCCCCAAAGCCCCAGTAGATAGTTGTATGTCATAGTTGCACATCCTTCTAGTTGCTGTATGTGGGACACAACCTCAGCATGGCCGGAGAGGCGGTGTGTCGGTGCGCGCCCGGGATCTGAACCCGGGCCGCCAGCAGCGGAGCGTGTGCACTTAACTGCTAAGCCGCGGGGCTGGCCCTCCTGT